TTACCTTTGTGAGCAGGTTTTCTCTGTAATGAGCCTTAAAACAAAGCTAACATACAAATATTAATATACATATTGTGAAATACCATTTACAATGTAATATTGTAAATACGTTACATTATTTGCACTATGGAAAACTCACTGTTACATTTAAGTTTGTAACAGAAAACTGAGTATTAAAGGATAGTGTTTTAAAGGAAGTTTTAAATAAATGTGTTTATGTGCACAAAAAGTTGGACTTTGTACCGTTTTTGGATATTTTTGAAGAGCATCTACTGGTCCGGCCCACTTGAGATCAGATTAGGTTGTATGTGGCCCCCGGACCAAAATGAGTTTGACACCCCTGGCATACGGTGTAAGTACTAGAGATTCAAAGATAACAAGCTTTATTGAACAGGTGTAAAAGTGAGAGTACTCTGGGATGAGTACTCTGAGAAAAGTACTCTGCGTAAAGTACTCGGAGATGAAATACCTCGCTGAAGATATTGGGAGTTCCTCCCTCTGCTGTTTGCCCTGACAGTGATTCGGTCCAACCGCAGTGAGCTGTCGTTGGTTGAAGGACAACTTTGGTTTGTAAACTCACATTTAGGGGAGTATAAAATAGAAACATACATTTTGTTGTTCTGTATTTGGCTACAGCCTCCGCCCTGATGCCACACACCGTCTGTCAATGTAGTTATGTTTTGCCCAATTGGAAAAAAGATTGACAAGCGAAAGTGGGCATTTTTTTGTGTTTTTTTTGTGTTCTGATATTTCTTTTTCAGATGAGAGATAAACTACCCCTGCTCCAGGGATGACAGTAGTATGGATCAGGAGGAAATGAGCCTCCACTTTGGCACAAAAGCCCACAATATGAATTGAGGACGATCCGGGAGAAAAGCAACTGGAGATGAACGGAACAGCAAATCTACACACACACACTAGGTCTCCCTGACCCAACCTGGCCATTCACTCAGACTGTGGATGAGCGATGTGGGTGCATGGTGTCGGTACTTTTGCAGTCTCACGGAGGGCCACTGAGACCCACTGCTTACTTCTCAGCAAAACTCGATCCCGTGGCAGCAGGGTTGCCTCGCTGCCTGCGGGCTGTGGCTGCCGCTGAGAAAGCGGCCCTAGCATCACGTGACCTTGTGGGATACACTGAACTAACTTTGCTTGTGCCCCATGCTGTTTCCCTGATCCTGCTAGAGCAGAGGGCCTCTCGCCTTTCTGCGGCTCGTTGGCTGAAATACAACACGGTGCTCTTTGAACTCCCCAATGTCACGGTGAAAAGATGCACACAGCTGAACCCCTCCTCACTGCTGCCCACGCCAGAGGAAGGGGAGGCACACTGCTGTATCGCCACAATAGAACAGATATGCACTCCCAGGCCAGACCTGAAAGAGGTGCCTCTGACTAATCCTGACTTGATTTTTTTATACAGACGGAGCCGCGTCACGTGACAACACTGGGAAGAACCGAGTCGGCTATGCTGTGTGTTCTGATTTTGATACTATAGACTCTGGTAGTTTGCCCCACTACCATTCAGCACAAACCGCTGAACTGGTCGCGCCCACCGGGGCTTGTGAGCTGGCAGCGGGCAAAACTGTTAACATATTCTGTGATAAGCGCTATGGTTTCTCTGTGGTGCACGACTGGGGGGCACTGTGGAAACACCGCAATTTCATGAAATCTGATGGTAAACCAATTCTTAATTCCACACAGGTTGAACGTCTGCTGAAAGCTGTAATGTTGCCCTTAGAGACCGATGTATGCAAATGCCAGGCCCACACTAATGCCACTGATCCCATCTCTGCAGGGAATCGGCGCGCGGACAAGGCAGCGGCATACGCACCTCTACACACACACACACACTACCTCACTCAAGACGTTGATATTTTCTCCTCTCTGTCAGCGATGCAGACACTGGCTACTCCAGCAGAGACGCTGCTGTGGGAGGGGAATGGGGCTCAACGACGGCATGGTGTGTGTGGCTGGGACCAGACAGCAAACCGTGCCTACCACGGCATTTCTTCAGACAGTTTGCAATTTTAGCACATGGTCGAGACCATGCCTCAAAAGGAGGGATGTGTGATTTAATCACACAAAATTGGTATACAAAGGGGTTTACGGCATTTGCACAGAGATTCTGCCAAACATGCGCTATATGCCTCGCGCACAACCCAGGTAAGTCCCAAAAGTATCCAACAGGCTGCTCATCCTCCGCCCCTGCGCCCATTTCAACATGTCCAAAGGGACTTTGTTGAACTCACACCATGCCAAGGTAAGTAATACTGTCTGGGTCTGGCGGATCTCTGGTCCAAATGGACTGAATATTTGCATGCAAACACGCCACGAGCAACGCGGTGGTGAAAGCTCTGCTCACAGAAATTGTGCCACGATGGGGTGTCCCGAGGGAAAATCTCTAGTGACAATGGCAGTCACTTTGTAGCAAAAGTCATTGAGGAAGTGGGTGAATTTCTGGGCATTGATATATGTAAACACTGCAGTTACGCCCCCTGGTCCGGAGGCGCGTGCGAGCGAGAGAATGGCACCAAAGCTCTGCCGCTAGCCCTCATGTACATGCGCATGAGAGTCCCATTCGAAATCCTCTGTGCCAGACCACCCAACTTGGGCGCGGGACCCCCGAACAGAGATCTGCCAAGCACCTCTTTGTGTGATGACGACATGCTGTCCTATTGTAAGGAAATTAATGCACTTTTGTCCTCTATTTCTGCCCAGGTCAGGAGCGCCCTGCCACAGGCTGCGCAGGCGGCTCTGCACAGGATCAAGCCAGGCGACTGGGTCCTGGTGAAGGAAACGAGACGAAAGCATTGGCGGTCCAAGCGCTGGCTCGGCCCATTCCTCGCCCTCCTGGTGACGGACACTGCCGTTAAGGTCGCGGAGAGGACAACTTGGATCCACGCCAACCACTGTCGTGCGGTGCTGCCACTGAGGGCCATAGACGAGGACACCGAGGGCGCGGACGGACCAGGCCCATCCGCGGCTCCCTACGCTGAAGAGGTCGGCCGGCGTGCGACCACCGTCGGTGAAGCAGGCCAACAACAACACCCAGAATCCCAGCGTTCCCGAGGCGACCCCCCTTTGCCCAACTCCCCAGCCCCCGGACCCCAAGGCCTGGGAGCCATGAAGGCCCTGAGCGCTCTGCTCAGCTGCAGCAAGTATGCAGAGCTGCTGCCCATTCCAAAGATTTCTCCAGAGCTTGCTCCCTCTGGCCATAATGCAGATTTGAGCTCTGCTGGAGTGCCCCCTGGTGTCTCGTCTCCCGTGTGTCCGGAGGAGGTGGAGATGAGGGCTGCTCTACAGTTCCTGATGAGGCACATGGTGAAGCGTGCTGTCATGAGGTCTCCCATCAAACGAGCTTTGGGCCTGGCCGATCTGGAGCGTGCTCAAGCCATGGTCTCCACACCCCAAACCCCGAGCACTCTGCCCAACCGAGTGCTGAGGCCAAGGCTTCAACGCAATTAGAGTCTTGCCGCTCCAAGACCAAACATCGCCATGACCACTAACGCTCCACACACGCTCATAGGGAGCGGTGCCACTGACTGCGAGACGGCACTGCTCGTGAGTATTCCCGCGGAAAAGACTACCGAACGTAGCCCGGCTAAGACCGGCATGGGCCCTTGGACTGTTATGCTGGCCACACTGACACTACTTTCCGTGCTGACCGTGTTTATTATGTTAATATTGTCTTCTCTTATCGCTGTCCGGATCCATTGTGTTATTATAATGTGCTCTTTCTTTTATTGACAAGCATGTTTCTTTTCTTGTCCACTTTGGACAGCAATAATTTAAGTGTTTCAAGCTTGAAGGTGATGTGATTACGATGCCTCTGGTATTTAACTGATTAATGCAAAAATGGTTTTGAATTATCAAAAGAGGGGAGTGTAATGACAGTTTTTAGAGTAATCACATTAAAACCAGCCGCAGCAAATACACGGACGTAAAAGGCCTTTTCAATGCAGAGACGACCTTCTGACGCCATGCTGAGCTTTGTGAAGGTCCCTGCTGTCTGTCACACCCTTGTGTCTTTCGCATCTCGCATCTGTATGCCTGCATTTCTACCATTGTCTGTCTGTTCGCACCTCCATGCCCTGTGTCTGATTGCCTCACCACAGGGGCATGGCGCCTGCGCTCCCTATGCGCCTCCTTCACCGGTGGCCCCCTCCCATCTGTTGTGGGCGTGACTGTCTTTCATGTGTGTCTATGTAAACAGGAAGCCTGAGCTCTGCGAGCCAGAGCTGGGTATGCTGCCTTTTGGATATGCTAGCTCTCCGCACGTGTGTTACAATAAACTTACGCTCCTGATTTAAGACAAATACTTTTGGGTTTTCTTCTTCATTGGATAGAAACTTCCTTAACACTACTTCTCCACGTCCATGTTTGGGATGCCTCCTGGACGCTAATCCCACCTCTACATTTGACCCATCCTGCAACTGCCACAAGGGCCTGGTTTGGTCAGGACTACAGCAGCTGCAGGATTTTACCTATTGTGCATGTTTTTAGTGGTAGGGGAAACCGGAGCACCTGGAAGAAATCGGAGCAGACACAGAGAGAACAGGCAATCTCCACTCAGGAAGGCCTTATTATGACTGGGATTCGAACCCGGGACCTTCTTGCAGGGAGTGAATTCCACTCAGCCAACATGCCGCCCGAAAACCAATGTTAAAAAATGTCTTGCTGTTTTGTGTTTTGCTATATTGTAATTGTCCCAGCGGCAGAACCATCAATATTATCATAAATTCAACATTTTTTTGCTGAATTCTTTCAACTATATTCAAATGTGCAGCCCTAAAAAGAGTGAAATAAAGCAAATAAAAGTGCACATTCCCACAGAGCGAGTCCTGGTGAGACTGAAGAGAGGTCTCCATGGAAACACACAAAACCTCATTGAACCTGGGACAGCGACTCGGACTTCTCTCTCTCTCTCTCTTGGCTGTGGTCGACTTCTCCACATTTCAGTCCACAAGCTGCAGTTAAGAAAAATAATAAAAAAGACTTACTGAAGCTGAAGCCTGGTTCCAAAACGAGCGGACCGTGTTGTTGACGCAGTCGGACCACCCGGGACAACCGGAGGTGAAGGTGTCTGCACAGATATGAAGAATGAGCACAAAACTGTTAAAAAATGTCTAATATATCACTAAAAACATCATGATATACGTGCGCCTCCCCAAGGTTTCTCTCTCTAAGGACAGTGGTGACGATCCACGACACATTCAACCACATTTATGGACATTTATTCACATTTATGGACATTTATGGACATGGGTCTCTGCTCCTTATGAACCGCGTCTAATGTTCTGTCCGCGCGTCTATGGTCGGCGCTCAGTACTACGGATGTGCGTTCGCTGAGCTGTTGTCAAAGTGGCCGTCAGTAAATCCTGTTCATAAATGGCATAATTCCTTTTCAAAAACGTCTCAATCACTTTCACTTCTCAAAAGCCACAATTCTCCCCGCTACCTGTGGTTGCATCCAATTCTTTCTTTTCAAAGTACTTAGCTATCTGCTGCCACCTGCTGATGAAAATGTATGCCGTGGCACAGTGGTTGAAAAACACTGAATTAAATAGTGATCTACAACCTCTGGTCATGAGTTTCGTGTTGTGACCGAAAAGATAAAATCACGGAAACGAGGATCCCAGATTAGTTTCCTCTGGAGAGTGGCGTTCCCTTAGAGATAGCGAGAGGAGCACTGGAGGCTTTCACTTAACAGCCACAGCTGCCCTTCTGTGGCTGTTCCCATCACAGTACTAACCATGCCCTGGCCTGCTGAGATTCACAGGTCTGACAGGGTCTGGCTTTCACCTGCAGGGGGCGCCACAATATTCAAACTAGAAATTATGGTGAAAAACATTCACTAGTCATTTCGCTAGACATCTGATTTATGATCTATGCCATCTATGGATTATTATTCTCATGTGGACATAGATTTGTGTGTGTTCTTGGACCAGCTGGAGCCTGTCTATACCTTTGCTACCCTGTTTTGTCTGTGTGTGTACCTGTGCTGCCCTCTGGTGCCTGTGTGTGTACCTGTGCTGCCCTCTGGTGCCTGTGTGTGTACCTTTGCTGCCCTCTGGTGCCTGTGTGTGTACCTGTGCTGCCCTCTGGTGCCTGTGTGTGTACCTGTGCTGCCCTCTGGTGCCTGTGTGTGTACCTTTGCTGCCCTCTTTGCTGCACCACGTCAGGCCGTCCAGCAGAGATCCCACAAACGTGTCCTCCATGGTGACGTAACACTCTTTCTTTGTGGTAAAGTCATGGACCACATCTTTTGTTTTGCTCCAGAACATCATCTGACGAAACACAAACAGAAGGATCGTCGTAATATCATCGTCTCATGGCAGACACGGTACCTGTCGATCTGTCTGTCTGTCTGTCTATCTGCATGTCTATCTACTGTACCTGTCTGTCTTTATCGATAAAACACGATCAAGTTGGTCAGTGTGATTTGAGGTTTAGTACAGTTCCTAGTGTCTGAGGAGCTGCATCTCTTCAGGATGCCTCTGGTCTGACTTGTTTTGGTCTGACTGGTTTTGGTCTGACTGGTTTTCAGCCACAGACAGAGCAGAGGGACCGGTCTTTACCCTGTTACAGGCAGGTTTTATGGGGGCCGCCTCTATCAGAGCTTGGTACGACTCCGGAGGCACCTGACACGGATCCTTCCCCATGTAGGCCTGCTCAAAGGTACTCCAGGTCTTCTCACAGTCGTATCTGAAAAATAAATATGTTTAGAAGCCACAATAATAATCTTCTTCTTCAGACGACATTTAGTGGAGACGGTCGTGAGGAAAGGAAAGTTTAGGAAACGATCACAGACACTTTTCTAATGATAAATTGTTTATAGTGGCTGGAGTTGAGAAGATTTCATGTGTAGTCAAGTGGATATAGACTTTTATAAATGTTGTGCAAATAAAGAGAATAGAGTGTAATTGACGAGACTTTTAGCTGCTTTGAGATTTCAGATTTCTTTACAAATAATTCCTGAATATTTATTTTCAAATAATTCCTGAGCACCTACATCCAGATTATTCTATTCTCACAAATATTATTATAGGCCCGAGCCCCAACTGCCGTAAACCTGTGACCTGCACCGCGACCGCACGTGCCCAAACACTGATAAATCCGTGCCAGAGAATGAATGAATTTACTCCGTCAGAACTTTCTTGGTGTTTATTTTTATGGGACAAACTAAATGACAGAACAGTGCCCCCTACAAAAGTCGGTTTACATTGCGCCTATTGGAGTTAAATTTGTCGTAGTGCCACACATTTCGGTACACATGTTCCTCAAGTCAAGACATGAAAAAACAGTTATTATGGCTTCCCCCTGACAAACAGGGAGCTCATTAATGTCAATGGAAAATGGAAAAATAAAAATAGATCTTTTTCCTCGGCCGTTTCACCAATTTGTCTCAAAATCGCTCCATATAATCTCAACACATGAACCAATAGTTCATCATTGAATTTAGATCAGTTAAACGTTGTCCGAGCAGCGGAGTGGCACAATGTGAGTTTTTTCCTCCCCTTTTTGACAGTAGCAAATTTGCTCCCGTTTGCATAAACAAAGTCCACAACAAAAAATAGAAGACACTTGAAATTATTACTATTACTTGTTATAATAAATTCTTGTATTACTATTGATTCACGCACGTGCTCATAACGCATAGAAGGTATAGGACGTGGTAAAAGCGACCACTGACCCATAAACACAAATAGAAACCACTGTAAAAAGATCCAGGTTATTCTGAGACACACGCACATAACTGTAACACACACTCACCCTCCGTACTCCACGCATCTGGACGTGAAGACACTTTTGAAATCCCGCGTCCTCTGCAGAATAAGCCCCAACACAACAGCACAGACCACCACAATAACTATCACCAGTATTAAAATAAAGCAACGTCTTTTCCTGCTCTTGGTCTTTCGTTGCATCTGCGCCTCCTCCATTTGGACCCCGGCTTTGGACCCGTGCGTAAAAGGGAGATCGACCCGGGTTCACAGGTGCAGGAGTGGGAGTTGGAAGTTGTTTTGTTGCACCCTGACCGAGTGTCACGTCGCTTCTGGATATTTATTGACAAAGACCAGCACTACACAGCTGACCGTGGGCGTACGGGTGCGCGCCAATCAGCAGAGAGCAACGTACCGGAGCATTACGCGCGGACCAATGGGGAAGCGCGACCACCGAGAACTACTTATGAACTTTAGAGTAAGAGAGTGGAAGATGGAGCCATGTTTATAAGACGTGAGTTGGTTATAAATGTGAAGGTTGTGGTGATTTAAAGCTGGGGTACCTAACTTTCAATTTACATAATACTTAATACAATCCATGTGACTTTAGTGATCACAAGTTTTGGCCTCTGTCACATTTTTCAGATCAGATCTTTCAGACAGAAAAGTTAGAGCACAAGTGAGAGAGCAGAGAAAGACAAGTGGGAGAGACCAGAAGGGTTAGGAAGTACTGCATATCTGTACAGGAGACTGAAGGTTCACGGTTAAACATGTTGTAATCAATAACCAACAAGTGTAAAAAGTCCACAAACTGTAAATCTGTGTAACTTTAGTCTGTGACAAACACTATAGGGACACATGACTCACTTACCAGCTTTCAGAAAAGTTTAATATCTACTCACTGTCTGACAAAACAGAATATTGTTTATAATGTTTAAAATAATGCAGCAAAATCACAACAAGGTATTAAGATCACCAAACCTTCTGTTGTCTGGTCTAGAAGAACCCGATTCTTTTAACAGTAACTCATGCTGAAACAACCGCACGCACACTGATGTAGAACATATATTTATGGATTTGTTCTTAAAGCTGCACTAACTCACTTTGTGACATTTTCGAGTGTGAGCGCTGGCCTCGCTCTTTGTGATCGCCCTCCCCACACTCACAGAGCTATCACCCCCCACTACCCCCCTCCCCCTCAGCCTGTGCTTATGTGTTTACGGAGCTCACAAAATGGATCGAACATTTGAACGTGGCGTGACCATAGAATGATAGAACCAGGAAGTGCGGAGGAACCAGACTTTCTTTGGGCTGTTTCGCTGAGTAAGCAGTAACCGGTAACGAAGACACGGGAAGTTTCAGGTTAGCCTCCGCCGCTTGTTTACTTCAGCTGTCTGTGCTAACTACAGACCGGTAGCTTTTCTCAAGAAAGTGGGGGCCGGTGGTCCGCTGTGATTGGTCACAATCTGGACCCAAAACACATTCTCTTCCTTGTTTCACCAAAACTCGATCTAAAATAAAATGAGACTCCAGCACAAACCAGCGCTACTCTTTCTTCAAAAGGACGATATCCCAATGCACTGCACAGACATGGATTGGATTTTTGTAATTAATAAAAAAATAAAGTCAGGTAATGCAGCTTTAACTTTATATTTTGTTATCCACAATAATCCTTTTTGGAATTGACTGACAAAAATATTTTAAAAAAATTCAATCCAATTTGGGAAGTGGAGGCTACACTGCCCCTGTCACTTTATATAAATAAAATAATCTGTATTTATTGCATTTTTTAATAGTTTTAAACGATACGAATGCATATGATCTCTCAGAGCCGAAAATGCAAATATGTTTTTAAGACTTTTATCTGTTTACATTTGCATTCTTTCAAACAGAAACTTTAGTGTGATGCAAATCAATACTTTCTCCCAAAGTCTCAGATACTTTTGGCTTGTTTGTAAATGTGGTCGTTGGTTCACAAGCGCTCAAGAATTTGCAGCAGTTTACCGGTTTCTCATTTTCTCCCACTGGGTTTGTGGAGTTGTTTGTGGACATTGGTCTCTGCTCCTTAAGAACCAATGACTCCATGTGTTTTTATCAATGCATTTCCTGTGTTGGCGAATCGACTCTCTGGGGAACATGTCCTGGATGAGCCGGAGAGGGAGGTCTGTGTCTCTGCTGTTGTTGTTGTCTCTTTGAAGTGCAGGATAATGGATGAATGGAAGATACAGTGACATTGTTAGAGTAGAAACGGGCTTTTCAGGTTTGTCAGACTGCAGGAAGCCTGGTTCTGGATGCACTGAAGCAAGATCAGCGTTCTGTAAAGTGGAAGAAAACAGAGACAAGGACATACATTTCAGAGTTTTTTCTCCAGTTTGTCAGTCATTTTGGAATTATAAGATATCTAAAAACTCTAAAAACGACATTATTTTTAGGTTGTTCAGGGTTATTGACACCTGTTGTGATTTAGGGCTACACAAAATCTATTAGCATGAAAATACACTTTGGTCCTACTGGTCATTGTCTGTGCAGGTCCAGCGGAAGCCCCGGGTCTGGAGCCTGTGAACCAGGTCCACCACGGATCCTCTGCCGCAAGATTCTCTGCAAAAGTGGAGAAAATATATTTATTTACATTTTTCGACATATTTGCAGAAGGACAAGAGAAAGACACAAAGGAGAGACCAGAGAGAGAGAGAGAGAGAGACAGAAAGAGAGAGAAGGGAGACAAGAGACAAGTTGGAGAGACCAAAGATAGCAGAGAGAGAGAGAGACAAGGTGGTGACTAGAGAGAGACAGACCGATCAGAGAGAGAGAGAGAGAGAGAGACAGGTTGGAGAGACCAGAGAGAGAGAGAAGGGAGAGACCAGGGAGAGAGAGAGAGACAGACCGATCAGAGAGAGAAAGTGGAGACTAGAGAGAGACAGAAAGGAGAGACCAAAGAGACCAGACCAGAGAGAGACACAAGGGAGAGACCAATGAGACCAGAGAGAGCAGAGAGAGACCTGAGAGAGAGATCAAGAGAAGAGCAATCACTAGTTTTCACTCTGTCTCTCTCTCTCACTCAACTTTTTCAGACAGAAAAGTGAAAAAGAGAGGATCCAAATGCTTTTAAACTTTATATATTTACATTTATTCTTCCACATCTTTGCAGAACGGGCCTAAATGTTGGTTCTTACATGTGAGGTCCGGTCAGACTGGTCACCACGTGGATGTTGACGTACTGGACGCTCTGTGGGTTGAGGCTGTCGAGTTCAACACTTCCGAACATACTGAAAGAGCCCAGAGCAGAGTGCAAACCGCTGCCAAGAGTCCAGAGCATGATGATGATGATGATGATGGTGTGTGTACCTGGTTCTGTTGAAGGCGTCAGCGATGGACCCGTTCAGGAGGACGGTGATGTTGCCACAAGCTGCTTCTGCAAACTACACACATGTTGGATTTGTAATAAATGTTTGTGTGTGCGTGTGTGCGTGTGTGTGTGTTTGTTTGTTTGTGTGCGTGAGTCTGTGTGTGCGTGTGTGTGTGTGTCAGTCTTTGTGTGTGCATGTGTGTATGTGTGTGTCTGCGTGTGTATCTGCGTGTGTGCATATGTGTGTGTCAGTCTACTGTATGTGTGTGAGTGTGTGTGTGTCTGTATGTGTATGTCTGTGTGTGTGAGTGTGTGAGTGTGTGTGTGTCTGTATGTGTATGTCTGTGTGTGTGAGTCTGTGTGTGTGTGTGCGTGTGTGTGTGTTTGTTTGTGTGCGTGAGTCTGTGTGTGCATGTGTGTGTGTCAGTCTTTGTGTGTGCATGTGTGTATGTGTGTGTCTGCGTGTGTGCATATGTGTGTCAGTCTGTGTGTGTGAGTGTGTGTGTGTCTGTATGTGTATGTCTGTGTGTTTGCGTGTGTGTGTAATGCGTGTGTGTTATTGTGTGTGTATGTGTGAGTGTGTATGGGTATGTCTTTTTTGTGTGTGTGTGCGTGCCTGTGTGTGTGTGTGTGTGCGTATATATCTGTGTGTTTGTGTGTGTAAGTATGTGTGTGTGTGTGTGTGTGTATGGGTATGTCTTTTTTGTGTGTGTGTGTGTCAGTCTTTGTGTGTGTATGTGTGTGTCTGCGTGTGCATATGTGTGTGTGAGTGTGTGTGTGTCTGTATGTGTATGTCTGTGTGTGTGAGTCTGTGTGTGTGTGTGTGTGTGTAGGTGTGTGTGTAGGTATGTGTGTGTGTCTTACAGTCTGTGAGGCCTGTCTCCACAGAGAGGAGACCGGATGGTTGCTGCAGGACGACCACTCTGGACACGACCCAAAGTCAAACTCTGAGGAAACACAGATGTTTACTGCAGACAATAGTTTCAACTGAAGTTTTCTGTTCCTTTTTCTTTGTAAATCTGTAGATTATTTCACAAATAGCATCGTCACCAACAAAAGAAGAAGTATTACACATAAGTTAATTATATAGACACACTTTACTGTAATTTCATCTTTAGAATGTATAAGTATAAAATGTAAACGGTAAAACTTGTGTTACGAGTTAAAAAAGGCTTTCTGCCTGTAACTCCCAATGCCGCCACCAGAGGGAGAAGTCGGCTCAAATAGATTTAACACAATATGCCTTTAAATCAACATAAACTTGAACGAGAATTTGAACTATACTGAAACAGAAGCTTGTGCAGCAGAGTCGTCTGCAGTGCTCCTTTGACATTGAGCAAACATGAGCTACGTATTAAACCTCGCTCTCCTCTGACGACAACAAAGATGGCGGCGTTGTGTTGTAGACGCCACAGTCCTTCGCTGAAATACTGACACCACTTGACTGTGCATAAAACTCACATGTGGTGTGGCATCGACTGGTCCTTGCACTGATGTAAACAGATATATTATGGTGAGTGTCTGTGAAGTCGGCCCCGGGTCCTTCCACTCGTCCAGAAAATGCTTCGACCAATGTTTCTGGATCAACAAGTCTGCGCCTCTCATAACACCAAGTCTGATATGGACTTTTTAGGAATTACTCAACTTAAAGGTAATTACAGTGCGAAAGTATTCGGCCCCCTTGAACCTTTCAACATTTCGCCACATTTCAGGCTTCAAACATAAAGATATAAAAATTAAATTTTTTGTCAAGAATCAATAACAAGTGGGACACAATCGTGAAGTGGAACGAAATGTATTGGATAATTTAAACTTTTTTAACAAATAAAAAACTGAAAAGTGGGGCGTGCAATATTATTCGGCCCCCTTGCGCCAATACTTTGTAGCGCCACCTTTTGCTGCAATTACAGCTGCAAGTCGCTTGGGGTATGTCTCTATCAGTTTTGCACATCGAAAGACTGGAATTCTTTCCCATTCTTCCTTGCAAAACAGCTCGAGCTCAGTGAGGTTGGATGGAGAGCGTTTGTGAACAGCAGTCTTCCGCTCTTTCCACAGATTCTGGATTGGATTCAGGTCTGGACTTTGACTTGGCCATTCTAACACCTGGATACGTCTATTTGTGAACCATTCCATTGTAGATTTGGCTTTATGTTTTGGATCATTGTCTTGTTGGAAGATAAATCTCCGTCCCAGTCTCAGGTCTTTTGCAGACTCCAACAGGTTTTCTTCCAGAATGGTCCTGTATTTGGCTCCATCCATCTTCCCATCAATTTTAGCCATCTTCCCTGTCCCTGCTGAAGAAAAGCAGGCCCAAAGCATGATGCTGCCACCACCATGTTTGACAGTGGGGATGGTGTGTTCAGGGTGATGAGCTGTGTTGCTTTTACGCCAAACATATCGTTTTGCATTGTGGCCAAAAAGTTCGATTTTGGTTTCATCTGACCAGAGCACCTTCTTCCACATGTTTGGTGTGTCTCCCAGGTGGCTTGTGGCAAACTTTAAACGAGACTTTTTATGCATATCTTTGAGAAATGGCTTTCTTCTTGCCACTCTTCCATAAAGGCCAGATTTGTCCAGTGCACGACTGATTGTTGTCCTATGGACAGACTCTCCCACCTCAGCTGTAGTTATCTGCAGTTCATCCAGAGTGATCATGGGCCTCTTGGCTGCATCTCTGATCAGTCTTCTCCTTGTTTGAGATGAAAGTTTGGAGGGACGGCCGGGTCTTGGTAGATTTGCAGTGGTCTGATACTCCTTCCATTTCAATATTGCTTGCACAGTGCTCCTTGAGATGTTTAAAGCTTGGGAAATCTTTTTGTATCCAAATCCGGCTTTAAACTTCTCCACAACAGTATCTCGGACCTGCCTGGTGTGTTCCTTTGTCTTCATGGTTCTCTCTGCGCTTTAAACAGAACCCTGAGACTATCAAAGAGCAGGTGCATTTATACGGAGACTTGATTACACACAGGTGCATTCTATTTATCATCATCAGTCATTTAGGACAACATTGGATCATTCAAAGATCCTCACTGAACTTCTGGACTGAGTTTGCTGCACTGAAAGTAAAGGGGCCGAATAATATTGCACGCCCCACTTTTCAGTTTATTATTTGTTAAAAAAGTTTAAATTATCCAATAAATTTTGTTCCACTTCACGATTGTGTCCCACTTGTTGTTGATTCATGACCAAAAAATAAAATTTTATATATTTATGTTTGAAGCCAGAAATGTGGCGAAATGTTGATGCGAATACTTTCGCAAGGCACTGTAGAAGGATTATCCCAAATTCTAGGGAAAGAACTGCCCTCTCCACTTTTTGAACTCAACTCTCTGGTCTTACCTCCTATGTACAATCTTTCTCCTACACCACATTTCACACACACAGAGAGAGAGAGAGAGAGAGAGAGAGAGAGAGAGAGAGAGAGAGAGAGAGAGAGAGAGAGAGAGAGAGAGAGAGAGAGAGAGAGAGAGAGAGAGAGAGAGAGAGAGAGAGAGAGAGAGAGAGAGAGAGAGAGAGAGAGAGAGAGAGAGAGAGAGAGAGAGAGAGAGAGAGAGAGAGTATTCACCGCTGTCCTGGTCTCGCCTGCACCACACCAGGTTGTTAAAGACGTATCCCACCAGAGTGTCCTCCAGCGTCCACAAGTGCGGCAAGACAGCGGCGTAGCTGTGCATCAGGGACCTGGTTTTACTCCAGAACAGACCCTGCAGGGGGAGGGGGGGAGGGAGAGAGGGAGAGGAAACCCCAGTGTAAATGATAAGTGCATGTGACTAAAGAGAGACAATGGGATTTTTGTCTGAGTTTTAAACCGTGAAGCAATCACTCAAACTCATGTCATGTTTGTGTATGAGGTTTAGGCACAGAGGACTTATTCTACATCTGTGTGTCATAAACAAATATTTCATACTTAAAGCTGGGAAACCTAATTCTAAAACTGCAGTTCGAGTCCTGACTAGAACCAGGAAGTACCTTCACATTAGTCCAGGTCTCTGTGCCCTGTGACTTAGAGAATAGACTTTAAAGTAGCTCTGTTTGTTACTAGTCTTTCAACTGGTCTCCTGCTGGGACTCTGAGGAGCACAGGGACTGGTCTCCTGTTGGGACTCTGAGGAGCACAGGGACTGACCTCCTGCTGGGACTCTGAGGAGCACAGGGACTGGCCTCCTGCTGGGACTCTGAGGAGCACAGGGACTGGCCTCCTGCTGGGACTCTGAGGAGCACAGGGACTGGTCTCCTGCTGGGACTCTGAGGAGCACAGGGACTGGTCTCCTGCTGGGACTCTGAGGACCACAGGGACTGGCCTCCTGCTGGGACTCTGAGGAGCACAGGGACTGGCCTCCTGCTGGGACTCTGAGGAGCACAGGGACTGGTCTCCTGCTGGGACTCTGAGGAGCACAGGTACTAGCCTCCTGCTGGGACTCTGAGGAGCACAGGTACTGGCCTCCTGCTGGGACTCTGAGGAGCACAGGGACTGGCCTCCTGCTGGGACTCTGAGGAGCACAGGGACTGGCCTCCTGCTGGGACTCTGAGGAGCACAGGGACTGGCCTCCTGCTGGGACTCTGAGGAGCACAGGGACTGGTCTCCTGCTGGGACTCTGAGGAGCACAGGGACTGGCCTCCTGCTGGGACTCTGAGGAACACAGGTACTGGCCTCCTGCTGGGACTCTGAGGAGCACAGGGACTGGCCTCCTGCTGGGACTCTGAGGAGCACAGGTACTGGCCTCCTGCTGGGACTCTGAGGAGCACAGGGACTGGCCTCCTGCTGGGACTCTGAGGAGCACAGGGACTGGCCTCCTGCTGGGACTCTGAGGAGCACAGGGACTGGCCTCCTGCTGGTCCCAGAGTCAGGGACTAAACATGGAGGAGGCTGCATTTCAGATCTATGACGCTAAAATCTTGACCATTCTTCCTGAAAATGTGAGACAGGCCTCTTCTCTGCCATTGTTCGAATCCAGGCAAAAAGAACAACACATGGCAACACAACTGAAGGATTGTATCTTCACTCTTTTCAGTGTTTTGTGATTATCTATGATTTAATGCTCGGTGTGATTTTAATGCCGCAATAAATAAGTAAATCACCATCATTCATATGGCACAGACATAGGTCACAGTGAACGCTTTCCAATGTGTTTGGAGGACACTTGAGGCGAGACGCGAGACATCGAACCCTCAGTGACAACAATAATGAATAGTTTAGACCCAAAAACAGATAAGTGCCATGGAAATACGTCGGAAAAGCTGACAATTTTCTCTTTACCAGGTGGTTTTGTGAAAGGTCTTTGTCTTGCGCAAATTCCTTCAAGTTTACTGCCATTAACAGAACATGCTGGACGAATACAATATTTTGTCAATTTGTCGTCTTTTCAAGTAGAATTTGCAAAACAGTGTACTGCTTTTTTATCGGTCGCTCAGATATGGTCAGAGGAAGCTCACCGTGCCGCATGGCCAGGTCTGCGTCATCAACCGGAACAGCGTCCGATAGTCGTCCACGGTCACGTTACACGACGGCTGCCGGAGAACGACGGCCTCGAAGTGCCTCCAGATGTCTTCACAGTCATACCTGCGAGAACCAACGACCACATTATTATGAAATCAAAGAGAGTTTAGAATCCAGGAACATAAGGCTTTCTGTTTACTCGGACCGAGGCGGGAATTGATTCAGAATGTGGTTAGCTAGGTCAGCGAACACAAGCTATTCAGTGTGTTCCTTTGAGATCTCGCTATTTCAAAGCGTGGGAAACCTGGACTCAACCTTCACCACCGTGTATGAGTTGGATCAAGGATATTATTATTATTATTATCACATATTTTGCGGACTTTCAACATTTACAAAAGAGTGAATCTGTGACCAAATCAAATTGTCAGACTACTTTTTTCCAACTTCTTTGAACCCTGTGGTCTATGCAGTGTGTTTGTTGTGGTAGAGTTTGGCTGTAAAGTTATGGACTAATTTAGAAATATTTTGTTTGAGATTGTGCTGAAGATTTTCCAAATTTCATCCCAGTTTTTAATGTTGTTTACTTACTGGTTTTAAAGGAGAATTGCATATAACCTGTTAAAGAAGACATAACAGTGGCCAGTATTTTTTAGTTAAATTAATAATAAAATATTTTCTCATGTCTCTGTGCGGATTGTTCTGACACTAATAAAACATCATCCCAGGGGCCAAGATCCTTCATTTGTGGACCAGATCTGGCTCCCGGGCCTTGACTTTTTAGACACCCATGGTTTAGACTGTTAAAACAATTTCATTATTCCATTGTTTTTACCGTACTCCAGGGTTCACGAGCGTTATATAATTATAACAACGTCCGATCACGATATCTTTAATGTTCGGGGTTGTTCCGAGCTGGTTTCCAGACTGACAAAGGCCGAGCAGCAGCAGCGTGACAAAGCCTTAGAAAAAACACACAAAGAGCCAAAGATGGAGTTCTGGGAGAGGCACATGAAAAGGCACAATCATTCATGAAGAGAATTGAACCCTCACCGATCCGAATGTGCGTGACCTGCATCTTATGAGGACAGGTCCCGGCGTGTCTGCTTTTGGCAAATACAGAAAGGAAATAGAAAATGTCAAATAAAAATGTGTTTTGAAAGTCAGCCTTTTCACACACATAATAATTACTATCCACTTATTCTCCATAAGTGTGTGTGTGTGTACGTGCGTGTGCGTGTATGTGTGTCTGTGTGTGTGTGGGTGTGTGTGTGTGTGTGTGTGTGTGTCTGTGTGTGTGTGTGCCTGTGTATGTGTGTGTGTGTGTGTGTGTGCCTGTGTATGTGTGTGTCTATGTGTGTGTGTGTGCCTGTGTATGTGTGTGTGTGCCTGTGTATGTGTGTGTCTGTGTGTCTGTGTGTGTGTGTGTATGTGTGGCGGGAGAGTGCTGAACCTGCAGATCAAAGCGTCCCCAGCTCCTCACAGACACAGGAGGAGGTTAAACTTGTTTGTGTCTGTTCGAAGTTGATTTCAGTTTTTTTTTATTGTGGAGAAACTTTTCCAAGGCAAAAATGTGGGATAGTTGTTGTTGTGGTTCATCCATATATCTGTACTTAAATAACGCATCAAGTTTAACTATTCAAGATTCCCTTTCGGACATGATTGTTTATTTTATTCATTCATACATTGTACACGTTTAGTTTTTAGAAAAATGTATTTATTTTATTTTGTATTGTCTGAATTAAAACTAATTTGTTAAAAAAAAAAGACTATAATAATAAATCCAATAAAAGCCAGGCCCTCCCAAGTGCCTGGTCTTACACTGCAAAAAATAGGATAAAACATGAAGTAATAAAAGCTTGAATTGGGTGGATTTGATCTTGATCTGACACATTCTGACTCTAACAAAATTCCCCAATGAGACAAAGTCTTATTTCGATGTTGCTTTATTTTCTCATTACAAGGGAGAAATTTTTTGTACTGTATCTTTTAAGAACAACAACATTTTTGCTTTGTCCCATTGGAAAATCTTGTTTTAAGGCAGTCTAATTATTTGTCGTCAACAGATCTGTAGGTGACGCCGTTAACCTGGCCCTCCACCACATCCTACAGCACCTGGACTCCCGGGGACCTACGCCAGGGTCCTGTTCGTGGACTTTAGCTCTGCCTTCAAGGGCTGTGTTCTTTCTCCCCTGCTCTTCTCCCTGTACACCAACCACTGCACCTCCAGCCACAACTCCGTGAAGCTGATCAAGTTCGCGGACGACACCACCCTCATTGGACTCATCTCCAACAACGATGAGTCCGCCTACAGGAGGGAGGTGGACCGGCTGGTGTCCCGGTGTCTCCTACAGGAGGAGGTGGACCGGCTGGTGTCCTGGTGTCTCCTACAGGAGGGAGGTGGACCGGCTGGTGTCCCGGTGTCTCCTACAGGAGGGAGGTGGACCGGCTGGTGTCCTGGTGTCTCCTACAGGAGGGAGGTGGACCGGCTGGTGTCCTGGTGTCTCCTACAGGAGGGAGGTGGACCGGCTGGTGTCCTGGTGTCTCCTACAGGAGGGAGGTGGACCGGCTGGTGTCCTGGTGTCTCCTACAGGAGGGAGGTGGACCGGCTGGTGTCCTGGTGTCTCCTACAGGAGGGAGGTGGACCGGCTGGTGTCCTGGTGTCTCCTACAGGAGGGAGGTGGACCGGCTGGTGTCCTGGTGTCTCCTACAGGAGGGAGGTGGACCGGCTGGTGTCCTGGTGTCTCCTACAGGAGGAGGTGGACCGGCTGGTGTCCTGGTGCAGTGGTAACAACCTGGAGCTGAACGCCCAGAAGACAGTGGAGATGATTGTGGACTTCAGGAAGAGCACTGTCCCCCCGCCCCCACCCTCCGTGATGGACTCCCCCATCACCTCTGTGGAGTCCTTCCGTTTCCTGGGCACCACCATCACCCAGGACCTCAAGTGGGAGCCGACCATCAGCTCCCTCATCAAGAAGGCCCAGCAGAGGATGTACTTCCTGCGGCAGCTCAGGAAAGCCAAGCTGCAGTTCTACACGGCCATCATCGAGTCCATCCTCACCTCCTCCATCACCTCCTCCATCACCTCCTCCATCACCTCCTCCATCACCTCCTCCTTCACCTCCTCATCACCTCCTCCATCACCTCCTCCTTCACCTCCTCATCACCTCCTCCATCACCTCCTCCATCACCTCCTCCATCACCTTCTCCTTCACCTCCCCATTACCTCCTCCATCACCTCCTCCATCACATTCTCCATCACCTCCTCCATCACCTCCTCCATCACCTCCTCCATCACCTCCTCATCACCTCCTCCATCACCTCCTCCATCACTTCCTCCTTCACCTCCTCATCACCTCCTCCATCACCTCCTCCATCACCTCCTCCATCACCTTCTCCTTCACCTCCCCATTACCTCCTCCATCACCTCCTCCATCACATTCTCCATCACCTCCTCCATCACCTCCTCCATCACCTCCTCCATCACCTCCTCATCACCTCCTCCATCACCTCCTCCATCACTTCCTCCTTCACCTCCTCATCACCTCCTCCATCACCTCCTCCATCACCTTCTCCTTCACCTCCCCATTACCTCCTCCGACACCTCCTCCGTCACATTCTCCATCACCTCCTCCATCACCTCCTCCATCACCTCCTCCTTCACCTCCTCCATCACCTCCTCCATCACCTCCTCCATCACCTCCTCCTTCACCTCCTCCATCACCTCCTCCATCACCTCCTCCATCACCTCCTCCATCACCTCCTCATCACCTCCTCCATCACCTCCTCCATCACCTCCTCCTTCACCTCCTCATCACCTCCTCCATCACCTCCTCCATCACCTTCTCCTTTACCTCCCCATTACCTCCTCCATCACCTCCTCCGTCACATTCTCCATCACCTCCTCCATCACCTCCTCCATCACCTCCTCCTTCACCTCCTCCATCACCTCCTCCATCACCTCCTCCATCACCTCCTCATCACCTCCTCCATCACCTCCTCCATCACCTTCTCCTTCACCTCCCCATCACCTCCTCCATCACCTCCTCCATCACCTCCTCCATCACCTTCACCTCCTCATCACCTCCTCCATCACCTTCTCCTTCACCTCCCCATCACCTCCTCCATCACCTCCTCCATCACCTTCTCCTTCACCTCCCCATCACCTCCTCCATCACCTCCTCCATCACCTTCTCCTTCACCTCCTCCATCACCTCCTCCTTCACCTCCTCCATCACCTCCTCCATCACATTCTCCATCACCTCCTCCATCACCTCCTCCATCACCTCCTCCATCACCTCCTCCTTCACCTCCTCCATCACCTCCTCCATCACCTCCTCCATCACCTCCTCATCACCTCCTCCATCACCTCCTCCATCATCCACCATCCGTGTGGTTCGCTGGAGCCACAGTCAGGGACAAGCAGAGACTACAGCGCATCTGCACCACTCCTCTCAGGCAGGAGGCGGTGGTCCGTCAGGACCAAAACCTCTCGCCCCTTCTGCTGTTGGACTCTTGAACACTCATGACCTGTCCCCCGCCCTCTAGAAGTCACCTTACTGTCCCTTATAAAGTCACTTTACTGCTGTCACCTTGTTGCTCTGCTCACTGCACATGGTGTGCACCATGTGCACTTGTATATTACATATTGTATATAGTATTTGTATTCGAAATTCTTCTATTTTAAATTGTATACCTTAGAAGTGCTGATTTTTATAATGTCTTACTCTATTCTCTATTCTTTATCTCTCTTTCTGACTGTTGCATCGAGCCAAAGCAATTTCTGTCTGTGACTTCCTGTTACTTACGTGGCAATAAAAATGATTCTGATTCTGATACATTTCTTTCACCAATAAATGTAATCTTGACACATACATTATCCTTAGCGTCGGATTTCTTGCCAAATTATATACATTGCTATAATACCCATGTTTTGTCTGTTCGAGTCGCTCCAGATTGAATTATTCCAATGTGGTTTTACTGCAAAGAGTTACATTTCGTCCTGAATCAGTCTCTTGTTTGTGTGTTATAATCTGAATACTTCTGTTTGATCCTAGTCCAAAAGAATGAGATTCCCTTTTCTGATAAAGCAGTCACTTTCTCTGTTTGTGATCTCATTTCTTTTCTCTTTCTAGGAAAAGACAAATGCTTCTGACAAAACTTTTCAGGGAATTAAGCTCAGAGCGTCTTTTGTGTCTGAATAGACCGGAAAAAACTGTATTCACCCTCAAGAAATAGTGCACAAAAAGATGGTTAAGCAGATGAGAGACGTCGTCATGGTGACCTACATTGGGGGAAAATGATCCAACATAATGAGATCAAGTCATGAGTTAAAGCTCAGGTACCTAACTTTATTTGTCTGGTAAAAAATATCAAATCCAACCACAACATTTGTGTTACTTTAGAGCAGGTGTTTTTCCCCCAGAGAGCTACTTTCCTGTGACGATAAAGACAGAGAGCTACTTTCCTGTGTCGATAAAGACAGAGAGCTACTTTCCTGTGACGATAAAGGCAGAGAGCTACTTTCCTGTGACGATAAAGGCAAAGAGCTACTTTCCTGTGACGATAAAGGCAGAGAGCTACTTTCCTGTGACGATAAAGGCAGAGAGCTACTTTCCTGTGTCGATAAAGGCAGAGAGCTACTTTCCTGTGACGATAAAGGCAGAGAGCTACTTTCCTGTGTCGATAAAGGCAGAGAGCTACTTTCCTGTGTCGATAAAGGCAGAGAGCTACTTTCCTGTGTCGATAAAGGCAGAGAGCTACTTTCCTGAGACCATAAAGGCAGAGAGCTACTTTCCTGTGACGATAAAGACAGAGAGCTACTTTTCCTGTGTCGATAAAGGCAGAGAGCTACTTTCCTGTGACGATAAAGGCAGAGAGCTACTTTCCTGTGACGATAAAGGCAGAGAGCTACTTTCCTGTGTCGATAAAGGCAGAGAGCTACTTTCCTGTGACAATAAAGGCAGAGAGCTACTTTCCTGTGACGATAAAGGCAGAGACCTACTTTCCTGTGACGATAAAGGCAGAGAGCTACTTTCCTGTGACGATAAAGGCAGAGAGCTACTTTCCTGTGACGATAAAGGCAGAGCGCTACTTTCCTGTGACGATAAAGGCAGAGAGCTACTTTCCTGTGACGATAAAGGCAGAGAGCTACTTTCCTGTGACGATAAAGGCAGAGAGCTACTTTCCTGTGACGATAAAGGCAGAGAGCTACTTTCCTGTGTTGATAAAGGCAGAGAGCTACTTTCCTGTGACGATAAATGCAGAGAGCTACTTTCCTGTGTTGATAAAGGCAGAGAGCTACTTTCCTGTGTCGATAAAGACAGAGAGCTACTTTCCTGTGACGATAAAGGCAGAGAGCTACTTTCCTGAGACCATAAAGGCAGAGAGCTACTTTCCTGTGACGATAAAGACAGAGAGCTACTTTCCTGTGTCGATAAAGGCAGAGAGCTACTTTCCTGTGACGATAAAGGCAGAGAGCTACTTTCCTGTGACGATAAAGGCAGAGAGCTACTTTCCTGTGTCGATAAAGGCAGATAGCTACTTTCCTGTGACAATAAAGGCAGAGAGCTACTTTCCTGTGACGATAAAGGCAGAGACCTACTTTCCTGTGACGATAAAGGCAGAGAGCTACTTTCCTGTGACGATAAAGGCAGAGAGCTACTTTCCTGTGACGATAAAGGCAGAGCGCTACTTTCCTGTGACGATAAAGGCAGAGAGCTACTTTCCTGTGACGATAAAGGCAGAGAGCTACTTTCCTGTGACGATAAAGGCAGAGAGCTACTTTCCTGTGACGATAAAGGCAGAGAGCTACTTTCCTGTGTTGATAAAGGCAGAGAGCTACTTTCCTGTGACGATAAATGCAGAGAGCTACTTTCCTGTGTTGATAAAGGCAGAGAGCTACTTTCCTGTGTCGATAAAGACAGAGAGCTACTTTCCTGTGTCGATAAAGACAGAGAGCTACTTTCCTGTGACGATAAAGGCAGAGAGCTACTTTCCTGTGACGATAAAGACAGAGAGCTACTTTCCTGTGTCGATAAAGACAGAGAGCTACTTTCCTGTGTCGATAAAGACAGAGAGCTACTTTCCTGTGACGATAAAGGCAGAGAGCTACTTTCCTGTGACGATAAAGGCAGAGAGCTACTTTCCTGTGACGATAAAGGCAGAGAGCTACTTTCCTGTGACGATAAAGGCAGAGAGCTACTTTCCTGTGACGATAAAGGCAGAGAGCTACTTTCCTGTGTTGATAAAGGCAGAGAGCTACTTTCCTGTGACGATAAATGCAGAGAGCTACTTTCCTGTGTTGATAAAGGCAGAGAGCTACTTTCCTGTGTCGATAAAGACAGAGAGCTACTTTCCTGTGTCGATAAAGACAGAGAGCTACTTTCCTGTGTCGATAAAGACAGAGAGCTACTTTCCTGTGTCGATAAAGACAGAGAGCTACTTTCCTGTGACGATAAAGGCAGAGAGCTACTTTCCTGTGTCGATAAAGACATAGAGCTACTTTCCTGTGTCGATAAAGACATAGAGCTACTTTCCTGTGTCGATAAAGGCAGAGAGCTACTTTCCTGTGACGATAAAGACAGAGAGCTACTTTCCTGTGTCGATAAAGACAGAGAGCTACTTTTCTGTGACGATAAAGGCAAAGAGCTACTTTCCTGTGACGATAAAGGCAGAGAGCTACTTTCCTGTGACGATAAAGGCAGAGAGCTACTCCTATAAACAGCCCTGGGAAAGGTTTGGTGATATATCGGTGTGAAAGAGCCTGATATCGGGTACAGTCATTATTTATCATTGCATATCATTGCGTTTTTGATACAAGATGGCGCCTCGTACGGTCGACATGGCTCTTTGCTGCTCTCTTTTTCTTTTGTTTTTACTTTTTAACTGTGCATCTGGCTGTTCCTACACCCGTGAGGAACTTATGAACATCCGACCCACCGTTCCCATGGACCTATTGCCTGTTTTCTTGGCATCTGCGGCTGATTTAGTTCATGTTCTAGCCAAAAAAGTGTGGGCCCGTAAAAGGGGAAAGCGAGGAGGCCTGCTCGTGCGTCTTAGGAGGAGAGGAGCGCGCACGGCTCTCCCCGGCATTTTTCTCTCCAACGTACGCTCACTGGGCAATAAGATGGACGAACTCAGCCTGCTCATGAGAAGAAACAAGGACTTCGCCACATCCTGTGTCCTCTGCTTCACTGAGACCTGGCTAAATGAGCGGATCCCGGACTGCGCTCTGGAGCTGCAGGGCTTTGGGCTGTTTCGCGCGGATCGCCATTGTGCGCTCTCAGGGAAGAGCAGAGGCGGAGGGCTCTGTTTCTACGTCAATACAAACTGGTGTAACGATGTGACAGTGATCTCCAAGCACTGCTCTCCTGCTCTGGAATATCTTTTCATTCATTGTAAACCATATTACTCCCCGCGGGAAATTGTTTCATTCATTCTTGCCTCTGTTTACATACCGCCATGCGCGGACGCGCGCGAGGCTCAGCGCGCACTCGCAGAGCAAGTACTGTGTATGGAACGCTTATACCCGGACTCTCTGATTATTATCCTGGGGGATTTTAATAAGGGAAACTTGAGCCAGGAATTACCCAAATACAGACAGTTTATCAAATGCCCGACCAGAGAGGAGAACACTCTGGATCACTGCTACACCACCGTGCGCGGAGCTTTTCGCGCTGTTCCCAAGCCAGCCCTCGGCTTCTCAGATCACTCCATGATACATCTGGTTCCTGCTTACAGACAGAGACTAAAGCTCTCGAAACCTGCAGTGAGGAGCTCCAAAGTGTGGTCTGATGAAGCTGTGGAAGAGCTACGCGCATGCATGGAATCTACAGACTGGGACCTTTTCAGAGCTGCCACAGACAGCTTGGATGAATATACGGACACTGTGACGTCATACATCCACTTCTGTGAGGATAGCATCATTCCAACAAGGACCAGGGTCATCTATAACAACGACAAACCCTGGTTCACTGCTAAACTCCGGCAGCTCAGGAAAGCAAAGGAGTCTGCTTTCAGGGAGGGGGACCGCAGCGGCTACAAAGCAGCTAAATATCAGTTCAGGAAAGAACTGAAAGCAGCCAAGTCCCGGCACAGAGAACGACTACAGGAGCAGTTTGGTAACAACGATACTGCTTCTGTCTGGAGGGGCCTACGGGAGATCACCAACTACAAACCCAAAGCCCCCCCCTGTGCTGATGACCACAAGCTAGCTGACGATCTGAACTTATTTTTCAGTCGCTTTGATGCTGCCCCTGACACCTCTCCCTCCCCCACCCCCCACTACTCTAACGACCCACCCATCAGCCCTGCCCCCAGCCTAACAATAGCCGCTAAAGAGATTAAACAACTCTTCCTGAGGCTGCACCCCCGCAAAGCTCCTGGCCCGGACCACGTGTCTCCGGCCACTCTGAGATACTGCGCCAGTGAGCTTACTCCTGTGTTCACGGACATTTTCAACACCTCTCTGCAGTCCTGCCATGTCCCGGCCTGCTTCAAATCCTCCATCATTGTCCCCGTCCCGAAGAAGCCCAGGATCACAGGACTCAATGACTACAGACCTGTAGCACTTACGTCTGTCGTCATGAAGTCATTTGAACGCCTGGTTCTCTCCCATCTCAAGTCCCTCACCTCCCCCCTCCTGGACCCCCTGCAGTTCGCCTACAGAGCCAACAGATCTGTAGACGACGCCATTAACCTGGCCCTCCACCACATCCTTCAGCACCTGGACTCCCCGGGGACCTACGCCAGGGTCCTGTTCGTGGACTTCAGCTCTGCCTTCAACACAATCCTGCCATCCCTGCTCCAGGACAAGCTCTCCCAGCTCAACGTGCCCGATTCCACCTGCAGGTGGATCACTGACTTCCTGACGGACAGGAAGCAGCGAGTGCGTCTGGGGAAGAATGTCTCGGACTCTCGGATTATAAATACAGGAGCCCCACAGGGCTGTGTTCTTTCTCCCCTGCTCTTCTCCCTGTACACCAACCACTGCACCTCCAGCCACGACTCCGTGAAGCTGATCAAGTTCGCGGACGACACCACCCTCATTGGACTCATCTCCAACAACGATGAGTCCGCCTACAGGAGGGAGGTGGACCGGCTGGTGTCCTGGTGCAGTGGTAACAACCTGGAGCTGAACGCCCAGAAGACAGTGGAGATGATTGTGGACTTCAGGAAGAGCACTGTCCCCCCGCCCCCACCCTCCGTGATGGACTCCCCCATCACCTCTGTGGAGTCCTTCCGTTTCCTGGGCACCACCATCACCCAGGACCTCAAGTGGGAGCCGACCATCAGCTCCCTCATCAAGAAGGCCCAGCAGAGGATGTACTTCCTGCGGCAGCTCAGGAAAGCCAAGCTGCCTGCACAGATGTTGGTGCAGTTCTACACGGCCATCATCGAGTCCATCCTCACCTCCTCCATCACCGTGTGGTTCGCTGGAGCCACAGTCAGGGACAAACAGAGACTACAGCGCATTGTGCGCTCTGCAGAGGAAGTGATCGGCCGCAGCCTTCCATCGCTGCAGGACCTGTACGTCGCCCGAGCTCGAGGCCGGGCTGGTCGTATCACAGCCGACCCCTCTCACCCTGCACATGGACTATTCCAACCACTCCCCTCAGGCAGGAGGCTGCGGTACATCAGGACTAGAACCTCCCGCCACAAGAACAGTTTCTTCCCCTCTGCTGTTGGACTCTTGAACACTTCTTAACCTGTCCCCCCGCCCTTTATAAAGTCACTTTACTGCCCATCATACGTCACTTTACTTCACTGTACTGCTGTCACCTTACATTGTGTGCACCATGTGCACTTGTATATTGTAAATAGTAACTGTAACTCTATTTTAAATTTAAATTTATTCTTTAGAAGTGTTTTTTATTCTTATTTTTATTATCTCTTTTTGACTGTTGCACTGAGCCAAAGCAATTTCCAAGTCTGTGACCTCCCGTTACTTACGTTGGCAATAAAAATGATTCTGATTCTGATTCTGATATTTGTTACTAGTGACAAAGTAAGTGCATTTACAATAATAAATAATCAATAACACAACCTGAATTATTAAGTATATTATTTGATTTGACTTCTGTGTTGATTTGTGTTTTTATGTGATGTGTTTGTCTTATCCTGGACCATGCGTCTGTAATAAAAGTTAATTTCGAAATCCTTTGGCGAGCTACCTGGAAGGGGGTGGCGAGCTACTGGTGGCTCCCGAGCTAGAGGTTGGAGATCCCTGCTTTAGAGTGTTGCACCAAGAGCCAAAGCAATTTCCTACAGTCTGTTATTTACTGTTGCTTACATGACAATAACAATGATTCTGAGTATTTTGACTGCCGTAAAAATAGATTCTCCAACGGGACAAAGTGAAAGGATCTTGTTTTAAAAAGAAGTGAAATAGGACTAAATTGTGGGTGACGGTGGCTCAGTTGGTAGAGCATTGGCCTTTGAGCCCGAAGGTCGTGGGTTTGAGCCCACCATGAGACCTTTTCCACCGACTCCCACTGATGCCTGCTTTTGGTGTGTCCTTGGGCAAGACACTTAACCCGCTTTGCCTATAAGGAGCGTGGAAGTGATGTTCGCTGCTTGCCTTGATGTGTGCATGTGTATGTGTATATGTGTATACTGTATGTGTATGTGTATGTGTAAATGTGTATGTATATGTGTATGTGTAATATGTGTATACTGTATGTGTATATGTCTATGTGTATGTGTATGTGTATATGTGCATGTGTATGTGTAATATGTGTATACTGTATGTGTATGTGTATGTGTAATATGTGTATGTGTATGTGTATGTGTGTATGCATCAAACTGAAATTTCCTATTATGGGACGAATAACGGACCTTCTTCTTCTACATGGCTTCGTTTCATTGGAAAATCTTGTTTTAGGTCCAAATGTGCTCAAATGACAATAAAACCACTCCATTCAAGCATTTATTACCTCATATTAAATCATTTTTTGCAGTGTGGTGACTATTTTGAGAGCAAGGAACTAGCTACATTGACTTTATGACATAGCTAACATTGTGGGGCTTGAGATTTAGGTACCCCAGCTTTACCTTGAGCATATTATTTTGTCTGACTTAAAACAAGAAATAATGAAGAAACAACCACAAAAATCAAATAATAACTGAAAGATAAAAACCTGCTGCCTCTTCTGACTAATTCAAACTCTTTACAATATTAATTTTACTATCATTTTTGACAGACAATAAGTGATCTCTTACCGCGGAGGATGGAGAAGTCCCGTTAACATGTTTAAGGTCAGCCGTTAAACCGAGTATGGCCCGCAGTGACGGCCCGACACGGCGCTGAGTCAGTGTAACACGGTCCTGCTCCAGTTTTCCATCAAATAAGAAAACAAACCGTCATTTGACCAAGAGTCGATCCACATGACTTTAATAAACCCCTCTTCTCTCACACAGGGATCTGCTGTTCTCTCTGCCCACCGGAAAATCTATATTTGTCCTGTTTCAACAAGAATCTGCTCCATCCAACCCCCTTTCAAACTCTCTGTAAATGTTTATTATTTTATCTATTTTAATTGAGTAAAAGTCAAAAACGTAGCAGCCATTTGTTGGGAGAGGATGCTGGTGTCAAAGGGTATGATAGGGTTTGGGGAGAGTGAATATGTATAGTTTGAAAGCCAGATCCTGTCAGACCTCTGAGGCTAAGCAGGGCAGGGCTTGGTCAGGGCTGTGATGGGAGACCTCTGAGAAACAGCAGGTGCCACAGTGGGGCGGCTGCGGCTCTAAAGTGCCAAACTGTGGCTGCGTACTTAAGCAAGACACTTTACACCCACATTAGAATGGGTTTGGTGTGTGTGTGACTGGTTGGTGGGGGTGGGGGTGGGAGGGGCTGATGGCACGGACTGGTTGCCTCGCTTCTGTCAGTGTGCCCCAGGGCAGATGTGGCTACAGTAGAAATGTATCACTATGTTTGCAGGGAAAGAATAATGACATGTGAAGCGTCTTTGAGTGTCCTGAAAAGCACTGTATACGAATTTGAAGATTAAATTCAAATTCATTTCACAACAGCTGTCGTCTCGGAGGACAAAACAAAGTTGTGTATTCGCCAACAACAGATCAACAAATCAAAGCGCTCACATGGGAAACACAGGAAATGCAATCATAGCTAACACATACTGTAGGAGCCATTGGTCCAGAGGGAGCGGGATCACCAATGTCCAGCCAGAAATGTTAATACATGTATTTAAATCTCCTGGATCTTTGTTGTCCTTAGACCCTCCTGCATCGGCAAAGAACCAATCAAAAACTTGATTGGTTCTTGAAAAAAACTTGATTGAAGGAAGAAACTGAGAATCTTGGTGAGGCTCATGATGAGAGATCGACGGACGGGCTGTAGATGAGCAGAAAAATCTCCAGATCACATGATACACAGTGTAGTTTATTTGTGTCGTGGTCATTTCGTTGGGATAATTGGTTGCGTTCATGTGACATCACAACATTCCAACTGCCCATAGCATTTAGAAAATCTCAAATCTAATCATTTTGTGCTTCTGCTTAAAGCTGGGGCACCTAACTTTCAAACCACAAAACATGAAACCACAAAAACAAGTTTAAATTATCGGTCTCTGTCACATCTTTGGATCAGATTTTTTTTATTTTTATCAACGAATCGACTAAAGAGACAGAAGCGAGTCCCTGCGTTCTGGCTCAGAGTTCTTCCCTGAGAGGTCCAGGTCGATCTGTCGCGGGAAAGAACCTGTGAACCTGTGGCGATCTCAAACACTGAGCTTTATTTAGACTCATTTCCAATCACAGCATAAAAGTTATTCATCCAGAGACAAACACACGACTCTCATCGGAAAGTTCATTTGACCTCAGGCTTTTCCGCGAAACACAAATGTTTGATTGTCACTCCTGAATGCAAAATACAAGATTGATGCAATTTTTACACCAGTAATTATTATGTAAACACAGTAATTACATCTTCAGCCAGAGCCATTTCTGATCAGTCCATTGTCCAATATTTTTCCTGGTAACCTACCTGACAAGGTAATAACATCGCTAACCTGCTATTGTCTGGTTTAGAAGAGCCAAAACAAACACACAAAGCAAACTGTAGCAGCAGCAGCTTCTCAGCAAGTACTGTAAGTCCTGGGTTCAAATCCCGGTCATAACAGGGTCGTTCTGAGTGGAATTTGCTTGTTCTACCTGTGTCTGCATTGGTTGGCTGCGATACCACTAAAAAAGAAACCTCTTTCTGGGGCCAGAAATGGAAAAGAGATTCTCAGATCACAGCGGCCTTTCCAGATGGAATAAAGATAAATAATGATAAATATTGTCTGTGTTAATGATGCATTTTATTTATTTAAGTGTCACAAACATAGGTTATAGTTTATTTATTTGATTTTATTCTTATTGTTCACTTCTCCTCTCTCCACATTCCTACTGTTCTGTTACCGATGATGCAACACTGACATTTCCCCACCGTGGAACAAAAAAAGGTTAAAGTGCCCAGTCTGCATGGGTTTTTACGACTCTAATCCTACAACTTGTTCTGTTGTAAAAACTCCTCAAAAGATCTGCTCTGACCTTCAGACGTGTTTTGTCATGTTGGTCGGCTTGTTTCTCGAGGCTAATGTCATGTTATTACACCTGCATTTAGGGAAGTGTTTCTGGAACTAAGATGGATACCTAAAGTATTCTTATTTTCTACTCAAGCAACTTTGCAGATGACGACGTCTGAACAGGAGAGCGCTCAATCAATTTCATAAAGATAACTAGAAAGATACATAGATACATGGATAGATAGATAGATAGATAGATAGATAGATAGATAGATAGATAGATAGTCCATTCCATCCCTTTTCTTCTGCTTTATCTAATGCCAGGTCACAGGGGCAGCAGTCCAAGCAGACCTCCCTCTCCACATCTCTCATCCTGGGGAATCCCGAGGTGTCCCCGAAGTCTGTCCTTTAAAAAAACAAACACATGCAACACTGCCACCTGCTGGACAAAAACTACACTCTCACTCTCAACGTTTTTCATGAAATTATCTTATATTTTTAGATAGAAAAGGGTCAAATTCAAAAGTACGCATTTCAATTAATTAATAAAACATAAAATTTACGTGTTGTTGACGTAATACCACGTGACCATCGCTGACCACTCAGCTTCCACACACTTGTAGTCCACGCCCCCACGCACTCTTGTAGTCCTTTCTCTTCTGCTCTGCTTTTCTGCGGCTGCTAAAGTGAATTCATCGCCTGAACATGTGTCAGTTTTACGTCTAGACACTTCTCTGTCTCAGTGCACACAGTCTCCGTACTTCAGCTTCACATTAACCTGGACTGGTTTCTGTTTTTCGTGAGATACGCGTCAAGCTAGCACCCGGAAGCTAGCTTAGCATTGTCAAGTCTATTATTGTAGATATTTGTAAAGCAGTGTTGATGATGAGTGACCCCTGGCAGGAGTGTCTGGACTTCTGCGTGGAAGTGACCAAACAAGCTGGACAGGTAAATCTCTAATGCATTTTTGATTCCACAGACTTTATGGAAGATTTTGATTTTATTTATTTATTTAGGGAAAGCCTCTTGAGATTGAATGTGTTTAGGCAGCTTCTCATTTTCAAGTGATTTAATTTTATAACAAAGTAGAAGCAGAGAGAAGCTGTGCAAACTGACTGTGTGCATGAATGGGTCTGTAATCATTGTTGTTTGTAGTTGTAAATAGTAAAAGAATATGTTTATTAACCCACCCTTGTTTAGTGTTGACCAACCATCAAGACTTTCCTTCTAAAGTTAATGTGTCTCCCATATTTTGCTTCATTCAACGGATTTGTTCTCGGTTGGCGATTTGAGAAGACAACAAAGTATACTGACATATTGTGTTTGTAAAAAGCTGCAAAAGTCTTCCTAAACTTCACTTTTATTCAGTCTGGTGATGGGAAAACTCATTTTGGTGACAGCTCAACACATTGACACATTTTGACTTGTAAATAAGGACGACATAATTGTTTATTACTAAAGGTTTGAATGAATTACTACATTTTTTTTCCACTGTCACTGACCTTTTCTGGAACACATTACATTTGGTTTCATTTAGAATAACTATATTTGAAACCAAGTCATATTTAAGATTGGTTTTACTTATTTCTCCAGTTTTAAAGCTTGAAAACTCTATACACTGTGCTTTATGTCGTAGTATAAATGAAAAAGCTCAATCTCTATTCAAACCTTGTTCTCCTTTTCTATGTTTTTGTGTGGTCTTTCTCTGGTCCAGGTGATCCGTGATGCGTTACAAAAAGACATCACCATCATGGAAAAGAGCTCGCCCGTCGACCTGGTGACGGAGACGGACCAGAGAGTGGAGCAGCTCATTATTTCATCCATCCGTGAGCAGTACCCGTCTCACAGGTGCATATAAGGGCAAAAGAGAGCAGCCTTTTGACTCCTGTGGGAGGAGGAAAATCATACTTTGTACCTTCGAGTTCTCTTTGATCTTTCTTGGATACACAACATCCTTCAAACCAAGAAATCTGCTGCTGTGTATGAATCATATTGACAAAGATTCAGGTCAAACAATATGATGTAATGAATCATCTAAAAGGAATAGGCAGAAGCTGTGCTTATTTGAGCCTCTCTAGACTCTCTCTCTGGTCTCTCTCTGGTCTCTCTCTGGTCTCTCTCTGGTCTCTCTCTGGTCTCTCTCTGGTCTCTCTCTGGTCTCTCTCTGGTCTCTCTCTCTGGTCTCTCTCTGGTCTCTCTCTGGTCTCTCTCTGGTCTCTCTCTGGTCTCTCTCTGGTCTCTCTCTGGTCTTTCTCTGGTCTCTCTCTGGTCTCTCTCTGGTCTCTCTCTAGTCTCCTATGTGTTGTTCCTTCAACATCACACAGACAAAAACAAGTTTTACACACTATTTTCATAATCTTTAAATATTTTAAACTAGCCCTGTGCGTTTTACTTTGTGACAAAGAAGAATGTTTTTTTTTTTTAAATCATCTATCTATTCATTCCATAATTTTAGCCCAAGAATATAAATACTTCACATTCAGAAATATCTCCCAGCATGAGATGCACTTTGGGATTTTATAGTTTACTTCTCTATAGAGAATCTCAAACTTTAATTTTGAAGTTTTATTTTGTATTTATAAACTTTTAGTTGGTGCAAGATTCCAGCGATTACAGCAAACTCTTTTTTTTTAGTGTGTCAATTCAACTGCAGTCTTTGCTAATTACAGCCATTCAATAATATTTTGAAATAACCCTGATTTTCTTTCTGTGTTCTAAAGTTTCATTGGGGAGGAGTCAGTCTCCGCGGGAGCCCCCAGCGTCCTCACCGACGATCCCACTTGGATCATCGACCCCATAGACGGCACCACAAACTTCGTGCACCGGTAGCATTAGCATAAACCACACAACAATCATTAACAACTGGGATAGCATTGACTCTTCCCTCTCCTAACTATTTTTATCTTTTAATTAGCTTTGCTCGTGCAGAATTAGGCTCTCTTGATGAGTCCGGGTTGTAATAGAAATTGATTCCCCGGAGTTTTCATTAATTTTGCCTTTGTGCAGGTTTCCCTTTGTGGCCGTTTCCATTGGTTTCACCGTTAAGAAAGTGGTAGGTTTTTATTGTTTTAAATGACATAGTATCAGTGTAATTGCAGCAATACTTCAGACAGTAATTGTTGCGGATGAGTTCACAGTTAAACCTACTTTCTCTCATTAAAAAGTGCTTCTATTCTTAGCCGCCCTCCTCCACACGGCACTAATTTGCTTGTTCTTCTTTCGGCAGATTGAGTTTGGAATCGTCTACAGCTGCGTGGAAGATAAAATGTACACAGCCAGGAAAGGAAAAGGGGCCTTCTGCAACGGGCTGCCCATCAAAGTGTCCGGACAACAAGGTGAACACTGGGAGAGGCAGGACTTAGAGGGAGGGTGCAGTGTGAGTGGTGTCCAGCAGGTGGCGACAGGAGCACGTGGAAGTTTCAAAGAAGAGGCAAAGATTCAGAAATCACTTAGAAAAAGTCAGCATTGTTCTTGATTGAGCTAATTAGCGATTATTGCGGCTCTCGATGGAACTGTCCTTAACAACAATAACAAAAGAGAAAAGATTCTTGTGGAAATGAATAGAAATGTTTGTTTTCTTTTGAGAAAATGTTCAAAGTTTCTCAGAGTAGCAAATGGCCACAAGACTTTTATTTTATTGAACCTTATTTAATTAGTAATTCATAACTAAGGGAGCTCATGAATAACTATACAGTATTGGTCTAGTTCTCAAGTGTCTCCATGGCCTCGCACCAAAGTTCATATGTGACACAGGGACTGGCCTCCTGCTGGGACTCTGGGGAGCACAGGGACTGGCCTCCTGTTGGGACTTTGAGGAGCACAGGGACTGGCCTCCTGCTGGGACTCTGAGGAGCACAGGGACTGGCCTCCTGCTGGTCCCAGAGTCAGGCCTTGTGTTTCTTGTGAATGAGGTTTTCCAGATAAATAACACATCACTGTTTTCATGCAAATCCAATTCTCTTTTTTCCAGATATTAAGAAGTCTTTGGTGCTGACTGAGACGAACTTCAAGGCAGACGCAGAACAGTTCAACACGATGTTAGCGAACGTCAGGAGCGTCCTCACGATCCCAGTGCACGGGTGAGTCCCACACACAGCACCACTCTCTCACTTCATCATCATCATCATCATCATCATCATCATATGCAGACATTTACACGAGGACTCCCACAGTTCTGAAATTCCAGTGCCACCATTTTGACTGCTCTCGTTCAAACTAATGGAATTCTTTGAAATTCCACCAACAATTTAGTTTTATTAAAAGTAAGTGATTTTTACCTTTACTCAGTGTTAAAGTGTTAAAGTGCTAAAACTGGTGAATGTAATGGAGTAGAAACACTTGTTGAAAATGCTATTGCTAATGACAAATGCTAACTGCAGGTCCAGCCCCAGCCAAAACGGCCTTAGAGTGCAATCAAACAAAAACTGGCTGAATATTAGTTAACCCTCTAGGCGCCACGGTCGACTTAAGTCGACAAGCTGCGGTACTGTTAAAAACGGCAGAGTGTGACCAACTGAGTGTCAAAATTTATTCATACTCCCTGCCACTAGTTGGCAGACATGTCAGACTACCTCCCTGGCCCCAAAAAACGTCATGCTCCCATACAAAATATTCGAGCAAGACCGCGTTGAACCAGTGCAGAAATCATAGCGAAGCGAATGCAGCTGCAGGGCAGCCTGCAAGTGTTGTACCGCACCAAACACTAACTTTAGACACTTTGCACAGGGTCTGCAGTGGGAACAGTGTTTCTTAGAGTAAGGCCAAGTCATTGGGAGGTTCGGAGACAGGTTAGATTTGCGGAAAACAAGCCTGGAACTCGGGTCGGGGCGCCGCGCCGCGACCTCCAGCCTCCGCTGAAGTTTCCGCCAAAGTCTCCGCTAAAAGTGCTTCCCACATATTTATTTTCAAGCCTCCCGTAATCACCGGGACAGTAATGTGTTGGAGAGGCGCGTCTGGGCAGACTGCTCACAGCAGCATCATGATTTATATTTTTTTACTATTTTCATGAACATTTACAATGTTACAGTGTGTGCTCTGTGTGTGTTTATGTTCTAGTGATAAATATATGTCTGTCAGTTAGAAAAATACAAATATTGTATGAAAATTCTAAAATCCACTATTTCTAACGCCAAATGACGTCATAATATGCAAATTAGATGGGGGGATTTATTCTCTACATAAACTTTGGACCATCCTTTATATTTTTCTAATTTACAGAAAGCCTTTATCTCTTATTACTTTTAAGTTATAGCCTTTTGAAATTAAGATGTCAAAATTGAGCGTTTTGGAAAAAAACCTCTGGCGCTTAAAGGGTTAAAGGTAGAAAATTAAATATTCAATTTAATTCAATTTTTTTTTTTTTTGTGCAGCCATAAATCACAACAGTAGTTATCGCAGGACTTTGCAAAGCTGTCGATTCGCCAACGCAGATCAGAGAATCAAACACAGGAAACTCAATGATAAAAACACAAAGAGCCATTGGTCCATAAATGTTCAGAATCACAATATTATATAGAACAAATATATACAACATCACGACAAACATGAACCTACGCTGAGTCACTACACATCCAAAACTAAAAGCCGTCAAATGGACTGCTCTGGGAGTGTCCTGTGTCCTCCTGCAGGGTGCGCTCTCCGGGCAGCGCCGCGGTCAACATGTGCCTGGTGGCCTGTGGTTCTGCAGACGCCTACTACCACATGGGCATCCACTGCTGGGACATGGCAGGGGGCGCCGCTGTGCTGACCGAGGCGGGCGGAGTCATCATGGACATCTCAGGTGAGCTAAGGTTATTTGTATAGCACAGTCCATACACAAGGCAACTCAAGGTACTTAGCAGGACAAGATAAAGACAAGCATAGAAGGCAAGTAACTCACGAATAATTGAGTACATCAAGAAGAGTAAAGATACAATCCTTCAACTGTTTTTAACCTGGATTTGAACATTGTCAAAGAAGAAGCCTGTCTCACATTTTCAGGAAGACTATTCCAATATTTTAGCTGCATGGATCTGAAACGCGCGACAGTAGCTCAGTTGGTAGAGCATTGGCCTTTGGGCCTGAAGGTCGTGGGTTCGAGCCCACCGCAAGACCTACTTCACGACTCCCACTGATGACTGCTGTCGTTGTGTCCTTGGGCAAGACACTTAACCCTACTTTGCCCAAAGCCCCAACTGAAAGATCTCAGCTCCTGTGGACTCACCACCTGCAGGAGGGTCAGTGAGAGGCTGGTGCTCTGTGACTGGGTGCAGCTCTGACTGCCACCCCCCCGACCCAGAAATGGATTAAGGGGAAGAAAATGGATGGATGGATGGATCTGAAACGCTGCCTCCCCATGTTTAGTCCTGACTCTGGGACCAGCAGGAGGCCAGTCGCTTCATATTTGAAAAACAAAACATATTGAAACTGTGTCTTGCATTCTTTGTTTTTGATCTGAAAACGCCCAAACCGTGTCAGTATTTCCAGGGCCAAAGCAGTGGGCATTTGGAGATTATTTACGGAGAACAAAGGCAGGAGGGACACCGCTGCTCCTTCAGTGCAAACACATTATTAATCTTTATGAATTATTTATCCTCTCTAATTCTTGTTGTTATTGGATTTTCTCCTCCTCTGCACAGCTGCATGTGTAACGCAGCGAGAGGCAGCAACAAACAGGAAGCAGCCCGGGCTTAGGAAACAGGCTCGTCGTGTGAAATTCAACCAGCTCCAAATATGCAACACTAAAACTACGCACACATGAGACGTTAGCGATGGAAGAGAGGCCGAGTGTGAGAAAGAGTTTAGAGCCTTCTTCCTCTTTTTAAGGCTCGATCTTTTGCCCTAATGCCCCAGATTGCCTCCTCCTCCTGCAGCTCTGAGCGTCACAGGCTGGTGTGTCAGGACAGCTGCATTTAACCCGCCTCAGCATCTAGACCAGGGGTGTCATTCATACGGCCCGCGGGCCGGAACCGGCCCGCCAAGAGATTTGACACGGCCCGTGGCTCATTTATGTAAAAATATAATAAAAATACATTTTAAAAAGCCGCTCCGCGACGCGAGGCCGCAGCGCCGCAGCGCCGCGCTCAGGGGTGAGTCCAGTGCATCTGTAGTGGCTCCACCAGAGCGGTGCTGAAGGAATAACATCTTAAACTACAAGACTCGGCGAAAAATACGGCACTTTGAGCGGAGAATTGAGAAAACAGAAGATAAACCTGTCTGGCCCTGAAGACACAGCAGTCTGTTTGTGCCCAGAGCGAGAGGTTAGTTCTGCTGCTGTGAAGGGAAGCTACCTGTGCTAACAACATTAGCATCGCAGCCGCACAGTGAGAGAGAGTTTGTTAAAACTCTCACAGGCTGCAGACATGGTCTGAGAAACCACTCGCTTTTACCAACATGTTGCCATTGATAAGAGACTGATGTTACTGATGTCACATATTCATTTGTGGTGTTACTGAAACTATCAGAGGAGTTTTGAGCGCTGCTGCTGGTTCTGCTGTTGTTGCTGCTGCTGGTTCTGCTGTTGTTGCTGCTGCTGGTTCTGCTGTTGTTGCTGCTGCTGGTTCTGCTGTTGTTGCTGGTGTGTTGGACAGTGTGGACGGGTACCGATGGTAAAAACAGGTGTAGTGACAAAGCTGCAAATGGAGGTGATGATTTTTGGACATTTGACTGTATTTTACACAGAGACACTGCTGCAGTCGTTAAGAATGGATCACGTTATGGAAGTTGTTTTATTCATTTCAACGGAATCATGGTCAGTTTGATGCTTTCTCTGTGATAATAACATAACCATGGACCTTACCATACATGGGCGGCACGGTGGCTGAGTGGATAGCACTCTCGCCTCTCAGCAAGAAGGTCCTGGGTTCGAATCCCGGCCGGACCAGGGCCTTTCTGAGTGGAGTTTGCATGTTCTCCCCGTGTCTGCGTAGGTTTCCTCCGGGTACTCCGGTTTCCCCTACCACTAAAAATATGTCCAATAGTTCTGGCATGCGCTTCCTGTACTGGCGACCCTGCCAGTACAGACAAATGCCCAAAATTAACAATTGTAAACCGCTTTGAGACTCAAATCTGCAGTGAAAAGGCGGTATATAAATAATAACTTACTAACTTACTTACATACAGAAGATGGTTAATGTGATAATAACATAACCATGGACCTTACACACTGAAGATGCTTAATGTGATAATAACATAACCATGGACCTTACACACTGAAGATGGTTAATGTGATAATAACATAACCATGGACCTTACACACTGAAGATGCTTAATGTGATAATAACATAACCATGGACCTTACACACTGAAGATGGTTAATGTGATAATAACATAACCATGGACCTTACCACACTGAAGATGGTTAATGTGATAATAACATAACCATGGACCTTACCACACTGAAGATGGTTAATGTGATAATAACATAACCATGGACCTTACACACTGAAGATGGTTAAGCTGAGGTGCTGTGTAAGTAGTAGTAGTAGTAAGTATTTATTTATATACCGCCTTTTCACTGCAGATCTGAGTCTCAAAGCGGTTTACAATTGTTAATTTTTGTGCATTTGTCTCTCACTCCACACAGAGATGGGAGGGGCCAGTACAGGAAGCGCATGCTAGAACTATTGGACATATTTTTAGTGGTAGGGGAAACCGGAGTACTCGGAGGAAACCTACGCAGACACGGGGAGAACATGCAAACTCCACTCAGAAAGGCCCTGGTCCGACCGGGATTCGAACCCAGGACCTTCTTGCTGAGAGGCGAGAGTGCTATCCACTCAGCCACCGTGCCGCGTGTGTTTTAGTGCTTTTTTCTATCTACTTTACCTTTGTGAGCAGGTTTTCTCTGTAATGAGCCTTAAAACAAAGCTAACATACAAATATTAATATACATATTGTGAAATACCATTTACAATGTAATATTGTAAATACGTTACATTATTTGCACTATGGAAAACTCACTGTTACATTTAAGTTTGTAACAGAAAACTGAGTATTAAAGGATAGTGTTTTAAAGGAAGTTTTAAATAAATGTGTTTATGTGCACAAAAAGTTGGACTTTGTACCGTTTTTGGATATTTTTGAAGAGCATCTACTGGTCCGGCCCACTTGAGATCAGATTAGGTTGTATGTGGCCCCCGGACCAAAATGAGTTTGACACCCCTGATCTAGACTTTAGGCCGAGGCCGTGATATTGACCATTTAGACTGAAAAAATCAGTTTTGTAGCTGGTTGTAGCTGGTTGCTTACATGGTGAATCAGAGGTGGTGACAGGGAGGAGGGGGGTTGCTGCACAAACAGCAGCTATAATCTGAAACAGTCGTCCTGGAAATGTGAGACAGGATTTTACTCTGACAATGAGAGAAACCAGATAGAGAGAGAGAGCAGGACGAGAGAGAGAGAGCAGGACGAGAGAGAGAGAGCAGAACGAGAGAGAGAGAGCAGGACGAGAGAGAGAGAGCAGAACGAGAGAGAGAGAGCAGAACGAGAGAGAGAGAGCAGAACGAGAGAGAGAGAGAGCAGGACGAGAGAGAGAGGGAACAGAGAGAGAGAAAGAGAGAGAGAGCAGGACGAGAGAGGGAGCAGAACGAGAGCGAGAGCAGGACCAGAGAGAGAGGGGGACCAGAGAGAGGGGGACCAGAGAGAGAGGGACCAGAGAGAGAGGGACCAGAGAGAGAGGGACCAGAGAGAGAGGGACCAGAGAGAGAGGGACCAGAGAGAGAGGGACCAGAGAGAGAGGGACCAGAGAGAGAGGGACCAGAGAGAGAGGGACCGGTGAGAGAGAGGGAACAGAGAGAGACTACCCCCCCCTCCAGCCGCTGTTCCTAACCCAATCGTCGGGAAAGCTCCTGAATTTATTAATGACCGACTTTTCTCCCTCTCTTCCTCTTCTCTCTCTCTCCCCCCTATCCCCTCACTCACTCTCTCTCACTCTCTCTCTCTCAGGCGGTCCGTTTGACCTGATGTCCCGGAGGCTGATCGTGGCGAGCAGCAGAGCCATCGCAGAACGCCTGGTGAAGGAGATAAAGCCGTACGCAGTGGGCAGAGACGACCAGTGACCAATCACAGACTGTATCCACACAGCTCCACCAATCACTGCTCAGGACACTACCACCTGTTAAACCACTCCCAATGACAAGGTTTCATATGTATTTGCACTTGGTAGGACTCCCGGGGCAGTCAATTTGACGGCTCAAATCAATGGAATTGTTTTACCAGTTTTATTGAAACTGACTTTTACATTTTCTTACTTTTAACAAGTTCTAATATAACTTGAAATAACAGGTGAAAGGCGTCCAAATGCTAGTAGCGGCTATGCTAACTAGCACTAGCTTCTACCTGAGAAGAGCTGAATCAGAACCAGTCCAGGACCAGTCTGGAGCAGAGCCAGTCCAAGACCAGACCAGGACTACCACCAAGGACTGTCCAAGGTCTTTTAATTCCACTTTTTTATTTATTTAAAAAACAAGTGAAAAAAAATGCCTGATCTGGGTGATTACGCTTTCAAAACAAAAAGCCGTCAATTTGACTCCTCTGGGCGTTCTAGAGTAAAGACAAGCATTTTAAGCCATTGTTCTGTGTCTTTTTAAACCTGCAAAAGTCTTATTGTGGTTAAAATAAGTAAATAAGTAATCTTTATTAAATACGTACTGAATTATGTGTTTTCAGATATTGTCATGGCACTTTTTACTCCTGTCATTGTATTTCAAGTATTTATCATATTTATGTTGGATATGTGTTCCTCTGCTGTTTGTTCAAAAGTATAATTTAACATGATTATTAGTTTGTGCTTTTCTGCTGAAACCAAAGTGCTCTGAAAGTGTCTCTGACCACACGAGGGGAAGGAGCAGACTTTATCGCAGCAGTGGGACTTATTCATGATACGACGAAGACGTTTATTCATGAAAACTAAAGTCATTGAACTTTGCACGACTGACTTTATTTTGGTTTTTGGGTCAAATAAACAGTTCTGTGCTGAGTCGAACTAGAATCTTCTGGTCCCTCTGCAGACATTTGGTTCAAAGACAATAAGAGATTATTGCACTGGTTTCTCTGGTACCCTACTCTACCCTACTCTACCCTACCCTACTCTACCCTACTCTACCCTACCCTACTCTACTCTACTCTACCTTACTCTACTCTACTCTACCCTACTCTACTCTACTCTACTCTACCCTACTCTACTCTACTCTACTCTACTCTACCCTACTCTACCCTACCCTACTCTACTCTACCCTACTCTACTCTACTCTACTCTACTCTACTCTACTCTACTCTACCCTACTCTACTCTACTCTACTCTATTTGGCCCTACTCCTTCTACTCTACTCTACTCTACTCTATTTGGCTCTACTCTACTCTACTCTACTCTATTTGGCCCTACTCCTTCTACTCTACTCTATTTGGCTCTACCCTACTCTACTCTACTCTACCCTACTCTACTCTACTCTACTCTACTCTACACTACTCTACTCTACTCTACTCTACTCTACTCTACTCTACTCTACTCTACTCTACCCTACTCTACACTCTACTCTACTCTATTTGGCCCTACTCCTTCTACTCTACTCTATTTGGCTCTACTCTACTCTACTCTACTCTACTCTATTTGGCCCTACTCTCTACTCTAATCTACTCTACTCTATTTGGCCCGACTCTACCCTACTCTACTCTACTCTACCCTACTCTACTCTACTCTACTCTACCCTACTCTACTCTACTCTACCCTACTCTACTCTACCCTACTCTACCCTACCCTACCCTACTCTACTCTACTCTACCATACTCTACTCTACCCTACCCTACCCTACTCTACTCTACTCTACTCTACTCTACCCTACTCTACTCTACTCTATTTGGCCCTACTCCTTCTACTCTACTCTACTCTATTTGGCTCTACTCTACTCTACTCTACTCTACTCTACTTGGCCCTACTCTCTACTCTACTCTACTCTATTTGGCCCGACTCTACCCTACCCTACTCTACTCTACCCTACTCTACTCTACTCTACTCTACCCTACTCTACTCTACTCTACTCTACTCTACCCTACTCTACACTCTACTCTACTCTATTTGGCCCTACTCCTTCTACTCTACTCTACTCTATTTGGCTCTACTCTACTCTACTCTACTCTACTCTATTTGGCCCTACTCTCTACTCTAATCTACTCTACTCTATTTGGCCCGACCCTACTCTACTCTACCCTACTCTACCCTACTCTACTCTACCCTACTCTACTCTACCCTACTCTACTCTACCCTACTCTACTCTACTCTACTCTACCCTACTCTACCCTACCCTACCCTACTCTACTCTACTCTACCCTACTCTACACTCTACTCTACTCTATTTGGCCCTACTCCTTCTACTCTACTCTACTCTATTTGGCCCTACTCTATTCTACTCTACTCTACTCTATTTGGCTCTACTCTACTCTACTCTACTCTATTTGGCCCTACTCTCTACTCTACTCTACTCTACTCTATTTGGCCCTACTCTCTACTCTAATCTACTCTACTCTATTTGGCTCTACTCTACTCTACTCTATTTGGCCCTACTCCTTCTACTCTACTCTACTCTACTCTACTCGGCCCTACTCCTTCTACTCTACTTTACTCTATTTGGCCCTACTCCTTCTACTCCTACTCTATTTTACTCTGCTCTAATTTGCTCTCCTCTACTCCAATCCCACTCTTACTCCTACTTTGCTCCAACTACCCTACTCTACCCCTACTCTACTCCTACTCTACCATCTGCCATGTCTAACCAATACTAGGTACGTATTCAGCACCTTCTTGGTCCTGGTTCTATCCAGGTCGAACTTTACTATAACTATAATTAATCAAATCATTATTTTTGAGCGAAATGGGCCCAGTTCATCACATGTTTATTTAGCAACATCATCTATCACAACCAGGAAGTAATACTCGACAAATAAAAAAATGGGACAAAATACTGTATATAAATGAGTCTTTAACTTGATAATATTAATTGTGTCTGTGGAAAAACAAGTCTCAGCCGTAGCATTTGAAAATAACATACAAATTCCCCTTTTTAGACTTATTTTAGTTTTAGGGAGCTCCACCAGCTGCTTGTCTCTGGTCAAAACCCTCCCAATGGTACGAACTTATCTGTCATTTATTCTATTCTTCTGGTTCTTAGACGCTGACCGAGGTTTTCTACTTTTGCAGATGTCTTTTTGCTTTTGTTGCCGATCCAAACCTTGGACAACAGTTTCTTCTCCCTTCTTCTCTGAGTGAGATTATTTACGCGCCACATTAATTTTGACGGTAATCCTTTGGAGCAGGAAGTTTAGTGTTTTTAAAGACGTAGTGTTTGTTTATGTCTGATCCAAGAGCCGTAAAAACCTTCCCTTGAGCCAGTCGTAAAAGCGCCCAGGACTTTAGTAGTGCATAGAGATTTTAAATACGTCTTTGATTTTAAGGAGACTAATATGTGTCAGTGGTTCGAAAAGTTTTATTAAAAGTTGGAGGAAGTTAAATGAGTCCAACTGAGATTTTTGAATCATTAATTTTGTTTTCTTTCATTAAAAAAGTCCAGCTCTGAGATTGAATTCAGAAAAAAGTGATTGATTTCTCTTTGAGACGTTCAGCTTCCACACGATCTGGCCGCACATTTAAGCTTTGATGAAGACACGGTTTCTACTTTCGCTAAATTATTTGGAAAAAATCCTGGAGAAATATTGAACGATCTAAAGTGCAGAATGGTTTAGAATTGTTGGACCATTGTGGGAATTATTGTGGGCCACACTTGCATCCAAAACCAAGATCCTGTCAGACCTCTGAAGCTAAGTAGGACGGGGCCTGGCTAGTACTCTGATGGGAGACCTCTGGGAACAGCAGGTGCTACAGAGGGGTGGCTATAAAGTGCCATAAGTGTGTCCATAGGCAAGACACTTCACCCACATTAGAATGAGTCTGGTGTGTGTGTGTGAATGGTTGGTGGTGGTGGGAGGGGCCAATGGCACAGACTGGTTGCCTCGCTTCTGTCAGTGTGCCCCAGGGCAGCTGTGGCTACAGTAGTAGTTTATTGAGTGAAAGAATAATGACATGTGAAGTGTCTTTGAGATTCCAAAAAGCGCTGTATGAAAGTGATTTATCATTATTATTATTTAAAACAAAATGTTGTGCTAAAACAACTCATAACTTAAAACAGAAAAAAAGGTTTCTGTTTTAAGTTTTACTTGATGGGAGACATCTTGGAACACTAGGTGCCACAATAGGGCGGATGTCGTGGATCATCACCACTGTCCTTGGAATTAAAGTAAAGTATGATCATAAAAAGTAATGTTTATTTTGTCAAAATTACTCAAACTACAAATCTGCAGAATGAGTTGAATCTTTGTCGCTAAAGTCAAACGTTCAGCTTTGCTTAAAAAGTGCCATCATCAATATTTACTTCTTGGTTTGTTTGAAATTTCCCCACTTTGGGACAAATCTTATTTCAAACCTGCAGAACACAATCTCACACATCTTTGCACTAATACAGGTTTGAAAAGGGGTTGGATGAAGCAGATTTTTATAAGTTCCCATCAATCAATCAATCAATCAATTTATTTGAGCAGGTCATACAAAACAAAAAACAATCCAATAGGAAAACATTTCAAGAAAAAGTAGACACAGCTCAAAGGGAGTAAGCCGAAGTAAAATACTTGTGTGAGCTTACCCCAATCCCATCCCCCTCTCACCATCAACACAATAATACACAGAATACAATGCAATTAATCAACATACACAATTCACCTTTGCAGTACATAACGCAGGGGTCTCCAACCGGTAGCTCGCCAACGCCTTCCAGGTAGCTCGCCAAAGGATTTAGAAATTAACAAATCAAATAATATACTTAATATTTCAGATCGTACTATTCATTATCATTTTTCCCAAGGCTGTGCAAAGGAGTAGCTCTCTGCCTTTTTTAATTACTTGACATAGAGTAATGTACAGTACCCTACCATGAGGTATTGGACACCCACACGCGCACACATACACACAGTCTGACAGTGTTATAA